AATGGGTATTAGATTTTATAGGACTATATTAACATTAAATTTAAAATACCTTCAAAGAATTAGTTTGGAAATTCTGTTCTTGAAGAAGATAAGAAAGGAAAGAAGATCCCATTCCTTTAGAGTGAAATTAAGGATTATGTTTTTAAGTTTTTTGTTATTAAAAATCCAAAAATCATTGAGGTCTTAAGGGTATGTTCCTTCAGCATAGATAGAATCACAAAACATATTCTGCATCCATCCATTGGGATGGATATAAGAAGCAAGAACTGACTTGCACACCATACTTCCTGGAAAATTTCCAAAATTGCTCCCATGCCCCTGCATGGATTAAGAAGAAAAGAAAGCAAAACTAGAATAGAAAGAATTATTAGGGCAGTGTAGAAATTGGAGCGTGGTACCACATACCACTTACCTAAAAGATGTATTCTGGAATCAATAGAATTTAGCCAAATGAAAGGAAGATGGTGATATCAGACTTACAATTTTTCTTCTCAAGAAATTAGGACAGCTTTACAGAGTTGGATGAAGTCCTGACCAACGCCATGAATGACTCATTGACCCATGTGGGCTAGAGATAAGATTAAGTCTTAGGAAGGCAGAGGAAGGCTTGCCCCATCTTGGATTAAGGTTTCTTAGGCTTAAACACAGCACTCAGAGAGAGTGTCCTATGCCTTGTCTGATGTTTTGTCTCTGACCCAGATTTCATAAAGCAACTCAGGCTCTCAGACATTCCAGGAACAAGCCTAAGAGAAAAGGGGAGGCACATGGGGAAGAAATGCAGTGTCCCTGCCGGTCCGTTATGCCGACGGCCGACAGTTAAAACAGCAGAGCCCGGATTCTCGAGGTCAGCTTCACCCGTGAGTGGCCTCAGTCCAAAATGAGTGAGCAATGCCGAGGGAACCCAGAAATAAGAAGTGTGGTAATAGCTCTGTTTTTTCGAAAATCTGAGCTGTGATAGAATAATCTTAACAATTAAGCTATAGAAAAATGCCTGGGTGGATCTCAGTAATGTCATGTTGAGCAAGAAGAGGAGGTTGCAGAAAATGTCCTGTGAATGCTTTATGTATATATAAATATATAATTTAAATAACATATAATTTAAAACTAAATCAGTGTTTGCTGAAGTGTGCTCAATATTGCCTATATCATTTATTAAACTTCTCCTCAAAAACATGGGAAAGTGTATTTCCTGCATGTACTTATATCTGATATTAGTGTCTATCTCTAATGTATCAATAGGCTTTCCGTGTAATAAGAAAAAGCCAAATCCTCAAAGAGGGAAAATGAGCAGTCATGAATATCTAATTTGCAGAAGAAAAAAGACTCTCAAGTCATCAGGAAACATTTAGTCCTGTCTTTATTCAACAAAGACGTCCTCAGCATCTTCTGTGTCCAAGTATGTTCTAGGCAAGGGGACTCACGGGCAAACGACACAAGCAAAATGTCCGGCCTCGTGGAGTTGGAGTTCCAGTGAGGTGGCAGGGGGAGAAAGTGAGCTCATCAGCTGCTTACATAAACGGATACGGGAGTGGTAGGTTAGGAGGTAGAAGGTTGTGTAGAGGAGGATAGTGGGAAGGGGGCGCTGGGGGCAGGGGTGGAATGGGAGGTGTGGCTGAGAGCATGGGTCTGAAGGGGATGTGGCCCCCGTTTGAGAGCAGTTGGGAAGCAAGGTCCACGGACAATGACATGGGCAAACAAGGCCTTTGGCCTTTACCGGAAGTGAGCTGAGATAGGAAGCAGTTGAAAAATGGGAAGTTTGAATATAATGAAATCTGATTTAAGTCTTAACTGAGTAACCCTGACTGCTTTGCTGAAAATGTTCTCTCCAGAGTATAAGCAAGGCACACTCATGCTTAAACTCTGTGGAATTTGGTTACACAGGTCAGAGGACTTGAAAGGTGCACAGCCCCTCATTCAGCAATGACATTTTGGGAAATTGTCAAATACCTGAAAAATGAACCTACAGCCATACATAAGTGTTTCCAGAAGTACTAGTAAATAATTGCAGGACGAAGAATATAATCCAAGTGTCCAACAGTAAGCACTCATTTAAATCAATAATGAATGGATTATCATGAAATAATTTTTCAGGATGTCACAGAATAACACTTACTGATAGGAAGTTAGCCAAATGCAACTTTAAAGGATAAAGCTCATAAGATAGCATAGGTAGTACCGTTTTAAATAAACACATGCACATAAAGTTTTGACATAAATACAGATACTCGTGTGTATGTTTGTAGATGTATATATAAGGGGAAAACCCAGACTGTGTGCCAAATATGGCAGAAGTGAGATTAGAATGATTTTTTTCTTTAATATTTATTTTTTTCTGAATCATCTGAACTTTTATAATGAGTGATAGGATTTTTAAAATTAAACTCCTTCAGCTTCGAAGTAAAAGAATCTGTGTGCGTCATTTTTAATGGTGATACATTTCCTTGAACAAGTACACATGAATCCCTTGCCCCACTGTGTTCCTCTCTTCTGCATCATGAAGGCTGACATCTCTGCATTTCATGCTATTTCCTTGGGTTACACTCTCAGAAGTGCAAGCACTGGAACAATGGCCATGAATGTTTTAAGGCTTTATTACTCATTGTCGAAATCCTTTCCAGAAAGACTTCACTGGTTATGTTTGCCCACCCACAGTGCTATTAAACTTCTCTATGGCCAGAATGAGTTGTCATCGCTCTGTAACATATCTGCTTTTCCAATGAGTGGAAAGTGATTTCCGTAGCAGGATATTAAAATGGAAATCCAGCTGAAGTGTTAAGATCAAGCAGTGCTATTCTAGACTGACACACAAACTGTCACCCTAGCTCTGTCATCTCCCATGGAGGGCGTGAAAGGGTAAGATGTTAGCTTAAAGACCAATTTTGTAGCTGTGAGGATGTCAGGAGTTATTGGCCCCATCAGCGCCAAGTGGGAAAAATGAGTGGGGACGCCCCTCATCTCGAGACCCGTGACAAAGATTTCAAGGGCTTTCTGAGAGTTCTTGACAGGAGTCATCTGCTCGTGGGGACACAATGGATCATGAACTCCAGTCCTTGGAATTACAAGGGGCAAGAGACAGGCTATGTAGTTCTGGGTGGAGGAATGAAAACAAAGCGGCTGTGTTCTCTGGTCTACTTCAGGGCAAAGAGTGCATGAGCGTTTCTCTCGTGTATCATAGAAGCCGTATGTGACAGAGAGTCCTGTCCTAGGGAAGAGCCTGGACAGGCAAACACACAGCAGAGAGAGGCCGGAGGTAGAGTCAGCCCCTACAAGGGCACTGCAGGTGACAGATCCCCAGCAATGGAGGGACGCAGTTTCTCCGAAGCATCCCATGAAGGAATATGAGAAATGTGATCAGCTTTAAAACTGCCAAGACCAGAGAATGGCAACACTAGGTCACCGCACTGGTATCCGTCAAGCAAGAATGGCCACAGCCCCCCTCCTCTCCTTCCTTCCTGTACTCCAGCTCTAGAAGGTCAAAGGTCTTGGTCATCAACACTCGCTGAGGACACAGAAGAACAAGGTGGATGAAGAAGACAGTCCCGCTTCTCTCACCCGCAGAGGCTGGGAGAAAGGGGGAGACCTTAAGACTTTAAACCAGGCTTGGATTTTGGGCTGTTCCTTGGGAGGGACATTATTTAAGTTGGGTCTCTTGGAATTACCTTGACGAGCAAGACTGTGGATGCTGCTTGAATTTTTATTCAGGAACTGGGGAAGGGTTCTCTCACACAGTAAACTTGAAACAATTATAAAGAGGGTTTCGTGACAATATATATTACATTTTATGCATTTTGAGAATTTGCATTTTGAAAATTACTAATATTAGTGGAAAAATAAAATTCCCATGATTATAGAAAGACGTGTTCTCAGATCATCTCCTGGGTTCTTAGCGTCTGTAGTAATGTTAGCATCGGTCCATGGTTGGCTTTCTCCTTGGCCTTGGCCTTGGCCTTGGCCTTCGTAAAGGAAACTTTATAGGACAGAAGCTGAATACACAGCATCAGTGTTTGCAGAGATCTCAGATTTTCTGTGTGAGATATTTCATAAACTGAGAGTTGCACAGCTTAGGACAATGATGGTAATTATAAGGACACCCCCAGAACTAACCGTACAAAAAGTGATATTTGACTGTCCTCATCTAGCAGATTCATTCAGCATCCAAAATAGATAGCTTATTGTGAATTTCATGAGACTCAAATATCACATATTCTGGAAAAATTGCAAAAAGTGTCCTGGAAGTCAGGACTATACCGGAGGGCTCTGAATGTCTTGATTTTGTCATAAGAGTTGCTAATAATCCCGAAAGAACTAAAGAAATGTGATTTTTCAATGGCAAATCCTCCTCTCTCCCTCTGGCACCCATCCCATTTATCTATTGCCCAAGTGGGCTTTCCCTGGCAGCAAGGATATGGAATCCTATGAAAAATGGAACTAAAAGGTAGTCATATTATAGTGAGATGGTAGTCATATAATAGGGAAGATGTTATAGTTTCGTCTCTCCTAGTAGCAAAACAATCAATGATGGTGAAATGTAGCAAAGGAGATGCCAAGAAGCCTTCAGTTGAACAAGAATATGGAAATCATTGAATGTGCCAATGATTCCCTGTCATTCAATTCCTTTCAACACAGTGCTGTTACTTAAATATCTAGATGTTTAAACTCATTCGGTATGTTTTTTAGAGGCCTTATTTTTTCCCTTATTCACTACAACTAAACAGTTACCAACATTCTAAACATATCTATTTTCTTACCATTACCACTATGCTTGACTTTCAGTAAAAATGTTACCCATTATTTATTTTTGTCAAAAAAAATATAAAGAAAGAAAAAATATATGTATATATAAAGACAGAAAATTATGACTGGAAAACGTGATAGAGACCAAGATGTCATGATTTATAATGCTGGGTTTTTTTTGTTTGTTTGTTTGTTTGTTTGTTTTAGTGAGTGCCTCCAGTTAATAAGCAGGCAAGAAATGATTGATTTTTTTTTTCCCCTTTCAGCGGTTTACCTCTGCAAGAGAACGATGCAAAACAAGGCGAGGCTGGAATTGGCCGACTATGAAGCTGTAAGTATTAAGGATTTTCTGGCAAAGAAAGTCATAAAATGAGCAGGAATAAGGCCTACGGTTGTTTCTGGCGATTCTGTTGACTTTACACCCCCAGATTTTAAGGACCAGATTTCTAGGATCAGGCATCAGAATGGCTCAAATCCCTGACTGCTTGCTTTGTCTCATCATTCACATTGGAGATGGTGAACTTGTAGATGCTCAGACTCACAGGAGAAGGGAGAAACGTGTTTTTCTAAACTCAAGTGTGGAAATCTTAGATGTGTCCTCTATATAGTGAAGACTCCAAATTTAGAGAAATAAAGTACATTTACTTTGAGTAAATCATTTTTGCAAAACAGAAAACATTAATGTGATGCAATTTGTTCAGACAGTTGCTGTGTTGTGATTTACTGGCTTTGAAGAACTGACTAGAAGCGGTAGTAGGCTACTGGGGGTTTACATTCTTGTCAAGAACTGGATAGACAGATGGAATCATTAGTAGAAATGTATTGCTTTCCTGTTCCTCACTACAGTGGGCCCAGAAGAACCCAATGGATGAGCCTTGAGCACTTTTTTTTTAATACAAAGTAATTTTTGTATTTTAGATGTTTACTTGTGGTCGCTAAAGTCAATGATTCATAAAATTAGTATTTGTGATAGGTTTCTGTCTTTCCTCTGAACCATTAATATGAAGACGAGATACATTCCATGACCATGATTTATCATTCAGAACCAGAGTACACTTACTACTTCAGAAATTCTGTGGTTGTTTTCTTGATAAATTTATACAGTTGATAAATGAGAAGTGAGTAGCGAAGACGAGCACCAGAACGTATTAACCTGTGGTATATTTTTCAGGAGAGCCTGGCCAGGCTTCAGAGAGCCTTTGCTCGGAAGTGGGAATTCATTTTTATGCAAGCAGAAGCACAAGCAAAGTGAGTCCTTGTGAGTCTTTTGGAAAATTTGTTCAAGTTGTGGCCTTTTGTCCAGAGAGGTGCTACAGTTAACCTGACTTATTATTCACTGTTACGATGTTGACAGAGTGGACAAGAAGCGAGACAAGATTGAAAGGAAGATCCTTGATAGCCAGGAGCGAGCGTTCTGGGACGTCCACAGACCTGTGGTAAGCAAACGTGCCGATGTTCTCTTCAGTTCATAATCTGAGCCTTTGGAAACTGAAGGATGCCTGAAAAAGTGAGAGTAGCCCCATCACTCTGCCCCAAATCTTGGTGATTTCATTAAGAAAAGACTGCCATTTTCGTGTCACATAACCAGAATTCAGTAGTGTAATGTTTAATTTATAAAGCTATGCATTTCCCCACCACAGCATCACTCTTGGCCTTTGAGGTCCCTGATACTTTACTACCCTTGAAAGAAACAAGACTGCAGCAAAGAAGTCGTATGTAAACCATGCGACTCCGAGTAACTAATAATGAATGTCCTTGATTAATCCCGGAAAACTTTGTGCAAGGAATTCCACACTGTCGATGCGCATCATAAGAGATCATGTCTAATCTCACATATTTCTATTTTGATATTATGTGTTTGTTTTCTTTATATTTCTTCAAATACACACAGGACATTAGAAAATAATATTTACATAAATATAGAATAAATATCAGGGTCACAGCATGAGGCAAATCAAGACCAATGAGAATATTTTAAGAACTTTCCTCTCAGCTACCTTCAGGATCAGACCAAAACAGGTCTGCTTTCCAAAGACTTCTGTCTATCTATGTGTGTGTTTCAATTTCAGATAGCAAAGCAGTTGTTAAATTCTATGTTGAAATTTTCTCTCTTTGAATTCCCCAAAGATTAGACTTAGAATTAACTGGCTTCCCTGCTCAATATTCCCCTCAAGTTTTGTTGCCCATGGTGAGAAAGGATTATGAGGTTGTGTGGATAATTGTTGCAAGAATGCAAAGCAGGGTTTTGCCTTGTTTGTTTATTTTAAGCGATCTCTAGAAATCCATCCATACATTAGGTTCCTGTGTTTATCCACTTTATGCCCCTGGACATCTGGTGGCCCATCTCCAGCCTTGTTCAGCTTTGATGGCCTTCATCCTTGCGGCAACCTCAGAGAACTCGCACCCTGACTTCCCTGCACGGCCTGCATTCATTCCCTGGCAAACGTGCCAGCTCACAGAGCATGTAAACGGACCCCACCTCAACCTTCTCCTCTGCTCCATGCCCTACGAGTCACTCAGCTGGTCTCAGGCCCTCTCTGCGCCCCTGTTGGAGGCAGAACCTGTTCACAGTTGTTTTTGCTGTTCCCCGTCCTCTCTGTCTCCCTGCAGAAAGGAGCCCATATGAGTCCTCTCCAGCGGTGTCCCCTGCTGCTCACTAGGCTCCTAATCAGAAAATCCTCCTAAGGAGCACCCTGAGGGAGAAACCACCCTGAAGCCAAGGCCTCGATCTCCCTTTACTCAACTTCTAGGTCCTGATGATAGCAGGTGCAGATGTTGAGGAAACTAATCTGTGGGATCTCTCTTGGTCTCAGTCTTTTACTTCTGAACTCTCGGTCTCCTCTACACTTTCCATTTTACTTAGGCTGTTCTTTAGGAACTTGGAATCTGGGTCCGAGTTTTCGGCAATGGGAGCATTACAACAACATGGCCTTCCTTGACGTTTACCACCTAGCTTACCGGGATAATGTGATTGTGTTGACTCTCCTCTTCAAAGGGTCTCTTCTCTGTCAACCTCTGAAACTTTTTGAACTCTCTGAGGGATAATCCTTTGTCCCCAACTTTTTAATGTATCAGTCCTGTAGTCATCTGCCTGCATGATGACCAACTACTCTTTCCATCAAAAGCCATATTTGAACCTCCTAAAACACAGCATGCCTGTGCATCCTCATACGAAAATGCCATTTATTCTGTATTGGTACTTGCCGGACATTTTACTCCATGCAGTGTTGATTAGAACATAGTTCTTGATCCTAAAACTCACCTCCAGTGGAAGCATTTTACAAACATGGTCACAAACACTTTAACACAGATAGGACTGCTCATTTGTTTCCTGGGGGAAAATACGGAGGGTCATTGGGTTTGCGTGACTTGCCCATGTCCACCCAGCTAGTAGTAGTGGAACCAAGCCTGAACCAACTATCTCCTACTCATAGTCTGAGTCCCAAAGGAAGGGAGCCATGGGAAAGGAGGGTGGCTCCAGGCTCCAGTCCAAGAAAGCAGCTGCAGGAAGAGTGATGCCCTCACTCCATTCTGCAAACAGAAGGGATGAAGAGTTCCTAGTAGCGCACATGTGATATAGCTGTGTCTATAGGTGTCTTGTTATAGGTTTATTTTACTCGTACATTTTACTCATGGATTTTGGATATACTTTTTTCATTCATTTTGCTATTTTCAAGAGCCCAGGGTTCAAGCTGTCTTTCAAACACTGTAGGCCACACAGCTGTGATCCAGGGGAGCCTCACTGCCATATGGAGAACAGTGTGGTTGGGTGTGGGACCCGTCCCGGTAGTTTGGGCCACACTAAGTACTTTCTCCTATATTCAGATCAGATCATCTTTGTAATCTAAATACTGTTTCAAGAATAATCTAAGTTTTTTATTAAGGTATAAATAAATCTAGTTGATATAAATTATTAGTACGTGGAAGAGATCACAAAGATTTTTATTTTGGTTTTGAAAAGACAAATCATAAGAGTATGAACTGACTGCTCTAACCCTTAAAATCTGGAGATCGATATTCCCATTAGAATTAAAAAAAAAAACAAAAACCCTCTATTCAAATTTCACAAATTGATAACACAATTTAACTGAAAGGCTTTTAAGTTATAAAATTACTTTTTCCTAGATTGGCTTGACTTCATCAATATATAAAGTATCATTGTTTCAAAAACCAGACATGGAGTTATTTTAATAGTCATATTTGTTGACTCTTTCTATTTTACTTTTCCTCGTACACTCCTACTAATAACATTTCAGTAAAAAAAAAACAAAAAACAAAAAAACAGGGAACAGTTAATCCTCATGACGCTTTTATTAATTCAAGGTGATCTGCTATATTGTGTGGTTTGGGTTGCTTTAATTTCATCTGGTTTTACTCTGGCATTTATTTAATCAAAAATAGGTTGGAAGCCATCAGCTAGAAATGTGGTAGGGAGTCTTTAAAGGTATACTTTTAAAAATTAATTTAAAATATTATAGTATATTATCTTGTATATTGTATATTGCCTTGTATAGTATATATCCATTTGAAGATGTGGAAAATACACGTAATATGAGTTTACTTTTTAAAAAACCATTGGGTCACTTAACACAGCATAATCAGTCAATTGCACTTAATACCATTAGGAAGTAAATCTAGCTTCTCTGAGTATGCCAGTGTCTATTCCAGGAAAATAAATAAACGAAGTCATTAACACCAAGAAGGACTCTTCAGTTGTTAGGGATTCCAGATAGAATTATCAAAAACTAACTACTCAAGAAGACAGTGGGAGAAATACACCAAATTGTAGTAAATGTCAAGGGTAATTAGGAATTTGTGTTAATCTGTGTGTTTTATGTTTCAGTATTTTTATGAAGCCCCCTCAAGGGCTAGTGCTTTCATAGTCTATATTAATAGAGTTTTAGAGACTAGTTTAATTGAAGTAAAAATCATGCTTGTCATAATGCTAAGGAACTCAATTTTAGAGTTTTATGCTCAGTTCTAGAAACCATACTTAAAAAAAAAAAGAAGAAGTGTGATTGAATTATAGTTGAGGTGAATAGTGAAGGGTCAAAGTCAAAAATAAGAAGTAAGAAAATTATGAAATTATTAGAGGTTAGCAACCTTAAGGTTAAGAGTACCCAAAAAAGGTATCTCCATATTTTGGAAATTTAACTATGTAGAGTTGGAATGTGGCTTATTAGTTTACCCCATGTTGCATTCTGGGTGGCCAATGTGGAAACAACTGGAAAACAAAAATCTCAATTAAAAAAAAGAACTTATCCCCCTGGGGCAAATAACACATTATATGTTAATAAAAGTAATTAATTAAAAAGAAAAGAACTTATCAGACCCAACACCCAAAAAATAAAAAATCCAGTTGTTAAGAAATGAGCAGAGGGCAATAATAGACGTTTCTCCAAAGAAGACATACAAATGGCTAACAGACACATAAAAAAATGTTCAACATCACTCATGATCAGGGAAATACAAATCAGAAACACACGAGATACCCCCTCACACCAGTCAGAATGGCTAAAATGAAGAACTCAGGAATCGACAGATGTTGGTGAGGTTGAAGAGAAAGGGGAAACACTCTTACACTATTGGTGGGGTTGGAAGCTGGTGCAGCCACTCTGGAAAACAGTATGGAGGTTCCTCAAAAAGTTAAAAATAGAGCCACCCTACGACCCAGCAGTCGCACTACTGGGTATTTATCCATGCAAAAATAGTGATTCAAAGGGGAAGATTTAAGATGGCAGAGTAGGGGGACCCTAGGTGTGTCTTGGACGTTGGATACAACTAGTTATCAAATCATTCTGAACACCTGAGAAATCAGTCGGAGATCTGAGAAAAGGAATGCTGCAAGTCTTCAATTAGAAATATGACCACCATTTGGAAGGTAGGAGGTGCAGAGACTGAATCCAGGGTGATAGAGCTAAAGATACTGCGGTGGGGAAGGAGCCTGCTGAAGGAGGCTACCGCAAGTATTGGAAGCAGAGGAGAGCAAAATTGGAGCTCTTAGGAATCTGCTACAGTGCCATAGGTCCCTGGCTTAAAGGTGCTCAGGTGGGGAAGCAGGATGAAATCTCAGGTGTGACACTGTGGTCGCAGGATCCCTGAGGTCACAAGAAGAATGAGGGCATCAGAGTTCCCAGGTGTAGGATCGGGGAAGCCAGCTGAGAACAGAGTCTAGGTGCAAGGTTTCTGCTCTGTGTTGCAGAAAACTTCAAACCACTGCACAATCGTGCAGCCACTTTCCTGGGAGGGGCCAGCAAAGGGCAGAAGTGTGGCAAGACCCACCCCTTCCCCCAGACGGAAGAGCATGTCTCCACTCGGTAAGAGTCCATAAAATTTGGAATCTTGGAACTCTGTTGTGCCTGAGATTACAACGCTTGGTCACAGGCCGGGTGAACAGAGAGTTCTGATGGAAACTGCGGAGACAAGAGCGATTGAT